TGGAGTTATAAATGTGAGCTAACCAAGAGTTAAGCGTTATTTGCCTTTTAATTGAAATGCAATAAAATCTTCATTTATTTCAAACATGTAAAAGGTCACAAAAAAAATTAACAATTAAGAATAAAGCAGAATAATTTCTGCATGCTGTTTTTGTTGTGATTTTTCCTCCACTTCCAGAGATACTAATCTAATCATTTTTGTCTTACTGCGATGATCTGCGTGACCGAAACCTTCCAGGATTTGGTGACTTGCATTCGGCAGCTGGAGATGAAGCTGGGCATCGGGGAAGAAACGGACCCAAACAACACCGAAGTTAAACGTATCTGTAAGTGTATGGAAAAAGGACTTTCATGAACCGGACCGGCAACTTTATTCTAAGGAGGATTAAAAAGAAGGAATGTTTTGAAACAGCTCCAGGTTCTTCATCTGAGAAACAGGATTTGGCTCCATCAGCTGCTCCCAGATCTGCTTCTTCGTCTTCCTCCCCGGAGGAAAGCTCCACCTCTGAGATCCCAGCCGAGACTCTGAGCCAAAGCGAAGGTGACGAGTCGCCCGTTGACTCACAGGTACGCCCAGCCCTAAACCAAACAACCATTAACGGCGCCTGCATTAGGGATTGACCCACTCTGACTGGGTAAATATTTGATTGTTGTCTCAAGAGATTCCTGCAGCTCTGCTGTGTCACGACTGTTTGCTCCAATTTCATTGTTGAACGTCCGGGTTTGCTGGCTGCTGCAGAAACAGGCCGGGGCAAGACGATCTGTCTGCAGGGATGGTGTGAATAAATTAGACGAAAGCAAACAGTGTGTAAACAGAAAAACCATAAAATGACCAGAAACCGGTTTAATAACCAGCCTGTTAATATTCAAATGTAAATCATGTAATTGCCATTGAGCACAGAAGAGACATATTTACAAAGGAGACATGTTTATTTCCTAACTGAAAGGAGATTACATTTTTAATTCATGCAAGGTAAATGCTACTTTATGTGTTTGTGATTATTTAGCTTGTCTTATGCTGTAGCAAGTTAACGAAACAAACTCCAAGCTTCAGGAAAGAACATCATATTGTTGGAGCGTCTCCAATAACCTTATTATCTGCAGTGTTGTCGAAGAGGAGGAGGAAATAAAAACAGCATACCTAATAATAAAAATGTTTTTTCCTTTATGTGCCGCAGCGCAGATTAGAAAATTATAAAGCAGCAAGTTAAATCAGAAATTTGTAACGAACCGCATCCTCCTGCGTTCGACATGCAGAAACAATTTTTAGTTTTCAATGTAGCGCATAAAAGCCATATTTCCCCGGAAGCCGGTAAATCCGACCCTGGAAATACAGGCTCTGACTCAAGTTTCTGTGAAATCAGGATGAAAAATCTCAGCTCAGCAAAGCCCAACCCGGCGAAGGGAAGCAGCTGATCCTGCCTGAACTCGTCAACCCCGTCCTGAGGTGAGAAGAGTCCAGCCACACCGAGCTCTGCGCCGAACATCCTCTCTAACGCAACTTAGAGGCTGTGTCGCTGAAACACATCGGAGTGAAAATGTGCCCGGTGCTGATGGGAACTTTTCATATGTCTCATTATTTAATCTGTGGCTTTTGATTTGTTTGAACCACTCTTTTCAAGATCAAATGATGCATACAACTTGAATGATAAAAAACAAACAAACAAACAAACAAACAAAAAACAAACAAACAAACAAACAAGAAAAAGAAATGGCAGCATAAGTTTTAATTTATACACACAGAGTCAAATATCTGCATGCAGCCCACTTTGCACCTGATCTTCATGCTTTTTGCAACCCTTTTGAGCTGCATGTCACGTTATGATGTTATTCCTTCATCTAAAACAGGCCTGGAGTGTTGCTTTGTTTCTCCTGTGCATATGTCAGAAAAAGTAGGAATTTCTTAAACAGACAGAGGCCCAGTTTCAGTGCACCAAGTTGTGAAGTCGACAAGTGCAGCATTCTTTTTTTTTTTTTTTTATAAAAACCGAAAGGTAACATAGTTACATGATTGTGCTATAAAATAGCACCGTGCGCCTGGAAAATACTTAAAGCTGCCTTTTTAACTTGTTCATGACAGATTTGAAGAGTTAAATTAAGTTCACGAGTCCATAACCTCTCACCAAGTCGAGGTCGGAGCCTTCCAGAAGCCTGTTTTGTTCGGTCCATCTTCAGTTTTGACGTGTGTTTTGGATCGCTGTCCTGCTGGAGCACAGCTTTCAATTACGTGACTCAGACTGTCGGATTAAAATTGGCTGTAATGTTTATGAACAGCCCAGGAACCACCAAGCCCAGACTCAATCATAACATACGTCACTGTCCCCACCGACGCCGGCGTCACGTCGCCACGGACTGACATGAAGCTCTGCTTCAACACTCTGAAGCCTGGCTAAGGTTTGCAGCTGCCCGCATGGAAAAATCAAATGCCTTCTGGAGGAAAGTTTTATGGTCAGAGAAGAGAAAGATTGAGCGATTCAGGGTGATATTTCTAAATGTGAGAACACCGTAGCAGTTGTCAGACATGGTGGAGGGAGCATCATGCTGAGGGTTTGTTTTTCTGCCAATTACACTGATGCGCTTCACAAAGATGAAGGAATAACGAATGAGGACTACGTATAAACTAAACGTCTGCTAAAAGCTTCAACTAGAGGGGCTGAAACTTGGACATGTTGGTGTTTTCCAACAGGACAATGATCCCAAACTGGACTTGTAATGTGTAAAACAGGTTAACTGATCTGATCCCTGACTTCTGATGCTTAGAAATGTTCTGGGCTGCGTTTAAAAAAAGCCAAGTCCATGCCTGGAAACCAAGCAGGCATAATGAGCTGCACCGTTTCTAATGAGAAGAGTTGATAGATTCCAGCCAGGCTGGAAAAACTGTGCAGCCGATTTTCCTTCCAAGGAACATTTCACCCGTGAGTCGTCAGAGACATTAAGTACACATTAAAAATAACACGAGCTCTAAATAACTGTGTTTGTATTTAGGAAAAACGGTTCATCAAAAGCCCCCAAATTATCGTGAAGCTGCTACCCACAGTGACGGAGGCGAACCACAAACAAAAGCAGCGATTTGTTTAAAATCAGCTAAAAGTTTGTTGTGAAGTGTAGATCTGTTACGATATTCTGTGAAACTTTCCTCTGTTTTCTCTGCAGTGAGCTGGCCGACTCCCCAATGTGGTAACAGGACAAGGAGCAAGCAGCTTTGGTGCCACTAGTGTTTATTTGAATCCAAACAAAACAAAGAGCATTTAGTTCTGATATTTGTGAAAATGCACTTTATTTTATTTTATTTTTTTCCTGCGTGGTCGATAGTTTCACGACTTAATCAGGTTATAGGAAATATTTCTCGTGTTGGGTGCGAACCTCGACTCAGGTTACGAGGATTTTAATACTTGCAATTCAATCCTCAGTGCTCCAGCCTTTAACCTTGCTGTAATGTGAATATGTGGCAAACGCTGTGAGAAATATGCCGCTGGCCTGACTTTCATACTCTATGTGTTGTTCCTGGTGCTATTTTGGCCCCTGGGTTTTGCATGAGAGCACGACTCCTGTGTGGGCGTGCGATCACGGTCAAGTGTGAAATGGTCTGTTTCAGCTTTCCAAGCACCGAGTCGGGAACATGAGCGCCTCTCTGCAGCGCCGCGGTGCCGGAAAACTGTTCAGGGTTCTTAGGAAAACGCTAGCAAGTGTTGTGTGGTTTCTGTGCTTTGTTGACAACATGATGCTGACAGAAAAGCAAGATCCTGATTATTAAAATGATACACAGACGTCTGCATGATGGAGGTCTTCACTTGACTGGAGTTAAAGATATTATTATTATTATTATTATTATTATTATTATTATTATTATTATTATTATTATTATTATTATTTTATTATTATTATTATTATTATTATTATTGCAGGGGAATATTCTCACTTTAAAAATATTTTATTTAAATACATGTAGTTAGTGTGAAAAAACATTTAAAAAAAAAAAAAAAATATATATATATATATATATATTTTTTTTACCAAAATCATTGTAAACACATCTATCGCCGCCTTTGTGGTGAACACGACTTAATTTACTGAGAGGACAGCACTCATTTGGCCAGGTTGGCACATTTATTTTTCATTTTATTCTGTTATAGAAGTACTAAATCCTGTAAAAACAGTTAACTTTAAAAAGCTTATTGTTAAAAAAATTCCTCTTTTTGAAAAAATTTGCGAAAACAATTAAATTGAATTAGTTGGGTTTTTTTGAATCCTGTTTTTGAAATTTTCCAAAAACAGTTAACTTTTATTAGCTTTATTTTTTTTAAGTACCTCTATGAAAACTGTAAAAACAATTAACTTAGCTTCGTGTTTTTTTAATTGTTCTTTTTGAAAAACTGTATGAGCAGTTAATTTTAATTTGCTTTATTCCTTTTAAAATAGCTCTTTTTGAAAAACAATTAATCTTAATTACCTTTATTTATTTTTTTAATTGCTCCTTTTTTTGTTTTCTTTTTTGGCTGAAGAGGCCCTTAGGAGCCACTTGTGGGTCTGGAGCCGCAGATTGCTGACCTCTGCTCTGGTCCACAGTCCTGGCTCCTCTGTTTTGATTTTCAAAAGGATTCAGGTCTGGAGTCTGAGATGGACATGATGGAGGAAAGTTGATTTAGTGTCTGTGGAATCATTTCTGTTAATTCGGTGACATGTTTTGAATCATTATCCTGCTAAAATCCCCCCAGAAATAACCCATTTGTTTATTTTAATTGAATTAATAGAAATCAACAACTAGATGCAAGGAGCTATTTTTAACCTACGTAAAAATGTCATCAAATTATTATTTTATTGTGAGGTTATGTTGCTGCAGTAAAAGTAAATAAAATGAAATCAGCTTTTAAGCATCTTTTCCAGTGGTACCCACAAATGTGTCCAACTCTGTAAGTGTTTGTTGAGAAAAAAAAGAAAAAAAAAGTTGAGACAACTGGACACTTATAATGTCTGAGAACAAAAAAAATGCTTTTATCAAAATACAGGAAACATCATAAAAACATTTAATAGTAAGCATAAAAAAAGCAAACATAGTTTCAGCCTCTCGTAGAAATGTAACCAGAGCATTTCAACACCGTTTTTGAATTTGTTTGTAGCTGTGTGCAATGGAGTCATCAAAGCTAGTTTGGTTTCTCAGATAGAAGAAGATGAACGTCGTCGCTCCCTGAACACGTAGACAAACATGCCTGGAATAAAATATTACAGACATTTATTTATCAGCAACAACAAAATGTTAGAGAGACGAGATTTATCCAGCTTCATTATTTAAAAAAAAAAAAAAAAAGTAAAATCCTGCCCAACACAAAGTGACGTATCTGTCTTTGGTCTTTTATTTTTATATTGTTACATATCTATGTTTATGATGTTGCTGGCTTGAGAGTTTGGCGACAACCTCTGTGGTTAATTTATTGCACCGACTCAAATTCAAGATAACATCAGAAACAAAGCATTTACTTTGAAATTAATAAACATTATAGGATCTGAAAAGATCATGAAAAGTCTAATTTTGGCTGGTGCTATGCAATTAGTATGTTACAATGTGTGTGTGTGTGTGTGTGTGTGTGTGAGAAAGCAACGTTTTGATCCAACAAGAACAAATACAGCTTAATGAAAATCCTGACAACTTTAGTTTTGCCTTTTTGATGACTTAATCTGTTTATAAATAGTTTTTAATTTAGAAAACTTGAATACTTTTGGTGTTCAACACAAGTCTTTCATTTGATCAGTTTTTTATTCTATTATTACAATAAAATTGCAATATTTTATTTCACTAAAACATCACCGTGTGCTTCAGGAAGACACCCGTTTACTGCTGATGCTGGATGATAAGTTTTGATCAATTAACAATCATTCCAATTAATTCATCTCTGAGATGAGGCTTTTAACTCTAAATAAATTCTTCAGTAATGTTTTCTAACTTGTAACCAGAGCCGGCCCAAGGTATAGGCAAACTCATGGGATAATTGATTCGTCTCTGATGTCAAATTTTGGATCAATTTGACCCCAAAGTTGAACACATTTCAGTCGGACAGTCATTGGGATCAGCTAACTACTATTAATACAAGAAGGAAACAATGCATTTTTCTCTATTTTAGACATTAAACACTAACGTAGCACGATAGTTTGCACAAACATTACGTGCGGTACTGGTTTACTTAGATGCAAATTGTCAGAAGTACTAAATGACCCAAAACAGTTCATTTTCCCACTTCTGAGTCGATTTCAAAATGACACATTTATCAACAATCAACCTGCTTTTAAATTCTCTCTAAAGGCTTCTGGACGTCAAATTTAAACTAAAAGTCATTTATATTTAAAATGCAGCTTTATTAGTTTATTAATTTATAGATTTAAAACATCCTAAGTTTAAGTGGGTCAGTGGTGGCTCTCCAGATCAAAGCCCAACTTTGGACCGGCTCTGCATGCATCCAGTGTGTTCAGGGCAAACCGATGATATTCCATATTCAATTTAAAATACATCTTTTTGAGCTTCATCTATTACATTTATTTTTAATAGTTCATAAATTTAAACATGGAATGTGTGTAAAGATGGAAAACTACTATATTTGGCATTATTTTAAAATGTTTGTTTCTTTGTATCCCGTCTGTGCTTTTGAGCTTGAATTGTTGAAGATGGCACACACACACGCACACGCACGCACACACTACCTCCTGAGTATATTTATTTTAATATCTGTTTAAATATCTTTACTTGCAATATCACAAGTTATTTCTTGACTTTATGTGGCTGGGATTTTCAGTTTTGCAGAAACTGTTACACATAAAGGTGAGACAGAATCAACCTGAGAGCGAAGGATGACCCCTCTGAAGATTTAAAGATTTTAATGGGGGGAGGAGTCAGAAATATTCATATAGATTTATAAAAACGATGAGAGATATGTCTTGTGTTTGCATTTTTTCCTATTTGGCACCGGAGGTAAAACACCAGCTTTCCTATTGTCCTCTCTCAAATAATTTCAAGACTGAAAAACGTTTTGCGATTTTTCTGAGTTTGAGTCCCGCTCATGACTCTCTTGTCTCTCTATCACACTTTTAAATGCTTTTGTCCAATAAAGCAGAAATGAAAAGGGTTAAAAGTTCAAACGTCACACGCTTCGAGTCGAATGAGAGTAAAAAATATATACCAAACAAAAGAAGAGGCAAACAGACGTAAAGGTAACATGCTCAGGAAAAGGAGGAACATAGAAAAAAATAAAAATAAAATAAAAATAAGTTGCATAATCTCTGAGAAGTAATTCTGAGAAGACATTCGTGGTACATGAACACCATGTAGAGCTCAGCTGCTGCAATCAACCATTTTATACAAAGCATAGCCCTTAAGAGACAGAAGTGGAGCTCCTTTTCTTCCTCCCAGCAATCCCTGCTGCTCTGTGGTGTTGAACTCAGGAACATGTTTTATTTTTGCAAAGTCACGTCGATATTTTAACGGTGCCCTCATTCATCCACTGAAATGTAGTGCTTTTTCTCCTTGTTTATTTTGCTTCCTATTCTGAACTGAAAACAGTTTCCTCGAAGTCAGTATGTACAGTTTGTCACAATGTCATTAACGAGCCTAAATCTGTGAGGTGGCGTTGCTCTGTGCGGCTCAGCGGTCTCTCAGACAGGAAGTGGCCTTCCTCTCTCACTGCGTCTTTCCCGCCACGGCCTTCTTCTGTGCCGCCTCCCCCCACGGCTCGCCGTCGCTGTCCGCCCCCCACTCCCTCTCCTCGTCCCAGTAGTCGTCCTCCTCCTCCTCCTCTTCCTCCTCGAAGGCCGACTCGTACGTGGACTTCTCCTCCTGCTTGATGGCCTGGATGGCCGGCGGAGGGGCCGAGGCGCTGTCGCTGGAGTCGCTGCTGTCTTCGAAGGCGTCCGGGTTCTCCAGCATCTCCCTGATCAGAGGCGGCATGGGGCCCGGGATCTCCGTCTTGAGGGTGATGGCTCGCTCGGCACCTGCGGGCGAGCAGAGAGGCTCAACGTCGAAACAAACTGTTCCCCTCTCAGGAAACAAGCGGACCCAAGTTTGTGCTTAGGTGCTTTGCAAATGTGCAAACTTTAATTTCAGATTAAAGATTTTTAGACATTTTACACAGAGTAAAGCTAAAAGAAGATGCTAACAAATCAAATCTGAAAGTGTGGCATGCATTTGCATTCAGTGGGAGTGGGAATCTGAGAGGAGTTGATGGGGAAGGCGGATGGAGCTGAAGGCAGAGCACTGCTTAACTTGCGCATGTTAAGGAAAGACTGCAAACGATGAGTTTTAGTTACTTTGCAGTGAGTGACAAAACCATGCTGACATCTTCCGCGTGCATATTAAGTGATACAACAGAGCAAAACCTTACAAAGGTGACCTATTATGTTTCCTTGAATAGGTTAGGATAGGTCTATGAAATGTACAAAACATGTTCATTACATTTTTTTTGGACAAAATTCTTATGAGATTGTTTGGTCAGTTCTGCCATTTTAAGCTCCTTTCAGAATGAGACATCTTAGGGCATCCTGTTACTTTAAATCAAAATAAGCTGCTGCTGGCCTCGCCCCCAACTCAACGTTTACACTCGTACATGAAAACGCCTACAAACAGATGCGCAACTATACAACCGCACATCTTTGAAAAGCAGACGTGGAGCCTCCTGCACAACCAACTAGAATGAAACAAGTGGTTTCTGGAAGGTAAGTCAACTACAAAACCGTTGTCTTTTCCAGCAGCCATTGCACAGCAGTAAAACCAGATGACCAAACGTGCTGGAACTCAGTTTGGGTTGTTAGTTGACAGGCTGGGTTTTGTGGGGTTGATACTTTGGCTGCTTTTAGAAGCCGTAGAAGCCCAGATGCAAGTATGACAACATAAAAAAATAGGGATTTTTCATAATATGTCCCCTTTAAGATTACAACGGGGAGAGGAAAGCTTACGTTTTGATTAACTAAAAAAAATTCTGCAAGTTCAATAATAATAATAATAAAAAGCCCTAACCTTTGGTGCTGATTCCTCGCAGGTCTGTGACTTTCATCAGCATGCGAGGGAACATGTGGGGCTTGTTCGGGCGTCTGCGGCGAGTGTAGATCTTTAGAGCCTCCAGCAGTGGCTCCTGGAGTTTGTCGACCTTCTCTGGCTCTTCCAAGTCCATGCGGTCTGGTGAGGGGCGAAGAGGAAACGATATTAGCCTCACAAAGAGCTGGCAGGAAGACATAAACAAAAACGAGACACGTTCTAGACTCAGTGGACCGGCCGGCTCACTAAACCTTTTACCTCCACAAATGAGACAGATTGCGCTCAGGAGCCCCGTCTCTGTGTCGTCCATCTCCAGAGGCAGGAGCTGACCGGCGAAGGCAAACACCAGGTCAGTGAGCGGCCCAAAGCCGGCGTTGTGCATCTGGGTCCTGTTGAGAGTCAGGCCGTCTGAGAACGTCATCGTGTCCTGCTCTGGAGTGTAGCGGGTGCATATCCTCAGCATCTGCACGAGGAAGGAAAAACATTACAGAACACAGGGGAAAAAAAAAAAAACTATATTAGTTTTAAAAACAAAATCTAATATCTGCTTTGTCTCAACAAGTGAAGCAGCGTGATGAATGGGAAAGCCTTGGGAAGGTGGAGGGTCGGTTAAGCAGGAGAGGGCTAATACCAGGATGTCCAGGCATGCAGATTTGAGGAGGGTGATCTGGTCAGCGATGGTGAGCGTAGTGAAGCCTGGTAGCCGCTTGGCAAACTCCACAATCTTTATAATGCACTTAGTGGAAAGCTCACTGAACTTATCCCACAGGCCCAGGTCCAGCTGCACTCTGTGGTCAGCGCTGGAGTTCTGGAAGAGAGAAACAGGAACACTTTTTTTTGTCTGCGCAGAGTCGGCACCGTGGCTCGTCCTGTCTGGAAAGCAGCGAGCCTCGGTGCGGACACTCCGCCGTGCGTGGCGGAAGTCAAAAACTCACCGTGGTGTATTTTCCCAGCTGGCACAGAGACGGGAATGTCTCTTGGTGAGCTTTGCTGACTTTGTTCACGAGCTCCTCCAGTTCTCCGCTGAGCTCGTAGTTCTCGGGCAGCACCACCTCCTCCTTCACATCCTTCTTCTTCTTGTTCCTGTCGTTGCGCACGGCTGAAGGTTGAAGGAAATCCGGTTACCACAGGATGTTCAGCTGCGATTTCGCAAATCTGTGATCACAACAACTCGCAGGACCAGCCCACACTTATTGGCCCTCCTGATAAAGTTTAAACTAAGTTTTCAATTAAACCTAAATCTAAGTCAACTTAAAAAGGGTAGATATAAATGAATTAACAGGAAGAGTTGTTTTCCAGCCCACAGACCTTCTTTGGACATGCCGACCTCGAAGCACTTCTGCAGCCGACAGTATTGGCAGCGGTTGCGGGTCACTTTGTTAATCTGACAGTTCTTGTCTCGATGGCAGGTGTACACCATGTTCTTCTGGATGCTCCGGCGGAAAAATCCCTAAAAAAAAAAAAAAAAGCAGAAAAGACTCTGATTTATTTCCTTGGCCCAAGTTTCCAGAACAGACAGAAACAGGACAGCTCTCAAAATGTTTCCACTTTAGCAAACATGAAGGGAGAGTGTAATCTAATTACAGCGTCTTTCAGAGTATTTGGTACCCATGTTGCAACCTCAATGTATTTTATTGAATTTTAATGTGATAGACTGACAAAAAGTCTTGCACAATTCTGAAGATGAAGTAAATGTTATAAACCTGAAACCTGCATTTTTGCTTGGCCACCCTGATTAAATACTTTGTCGAATCATCAGCAACTTTTGGTTCACGTCTCTTCCTGCTTTTAGAGACAAACATTTTTGCCCATTCTATCTTGAAGCTGGCTCAAGCATCTGTGTTTGTGGACATCAGTCCTAGTCAAATTAGATACAGGTTTGGACTTTGACTGCGCCATTCTAGCACAGGAACATGCTTTGATTTAAACTATTACATTGCAGCTTTAAATGCAAGTTTATGGCTCCTGATTTGCTGGAAAATGAACCTCCACACCAGTCTTAGGTTTTTATGCGTCCTAACAGGTTTTCTTCTGGGATTACCAGGTATTGAGCTCAATCCACCTTCCCATTAATCTGTTCAGTTTAATTGCCACTACTGACCTGCTGGATTTTTATTCTGGTTATGAGTGAAAAGAGATCAATATAAATGAGATACATGTAAATTCCCGTCTTCCTTTTTAAACCTTTTATTGTTCAATATTTTTTGATAACAATGCATAGCTTTTCCTTTCTCTGAACCTCCATGCGCTACTTTGAGTTGGTCTGTAAGACAGGAAATCCTAAACAAAGGTCTTACATATATGTACATGCTGCGAATAAATTATCAAAGAGGTCATTTTTAAACAGCTGCAATCTGTTTTGGTTAACATTTAAATGCCTTTGGGTTAAACTTTTATGGAAGAAGTAGGCTCATATCTTTCACACCGAACTTCTACATGTGCTGCGCGCCTGTGCAGTGGCAGTGAGTACACACCAGGGGGCAGCAGCAAACACACAGCTGCACTCTTCACACATCTGTTTGGCTCTCGGAGAGAATCAGGTTCCCACTCTGGGTTTCTTTTAAACTGACCTCAGCTGTTCAGCTTCTTCTTTTTCTTTTTTACACATGTCCTGTAAACTCTGCATGTACCTCTGGCTTCATTTACCTTGCAGCCCTCACAGGAGCTCACTCCGTAGTGATAACCAGATGACTTGTCCTGGCACACAAAGCATGGCTTGTAGACCCGCGGAGGAGGTGGAGGGGAAGGGGAGCTGGGCACCATCTCCTCTGAACTGGTGCTCTGCGTCTCCACCGCTGCAGGGCAAGAAAATTAAAAAAAAAAAAGAAAAAGAAGGGGGGTGGGGGGGAAGAAAGGTCACTTATTATAAGAATGCATCTTGTTTGCATTAATCCTAAGAGTCTTTGAAATAATGATGAAAGCAAATGCAGCAGCTGATTAGGAGAGAGAGTGGTCAACAAACAACCCCCATCCTTCCTCGGGCCACCCTGTGGAGCCAGAAGGGAACAAGCTCAAAAGCAGACATTTTTAAGAGAAAAAGGAGGAGGGCGGGGGGCTCTGCTGATTGACAGGGACTTAAAAGAGACACAATTAGCTGATGGCCAGATGGGCCTGCTGATAAAAACGCTGATTGGCAGCTGAGCTTTGATTGGCTTCACCATTTATTGGAGAGCAGGAGGGGCAGTGGGACACCTCTGCTGACTTTTTGACTCGAATGTAAAAATTTTTGCACGTGTGCGTTTGTGCGCATATGCTTTGTTTTCCTTTTCTTTTCTGCTATTTTATTTGGAAAAGCCACCCGGCCGGACCTGCCCGTCTCCCCGAAGCCCCATGTGAACAAACAGAGGTGGGATGTTTACGAGACCTCGCTGTCTCCCTCCGTCCCATCGCACTGTCTCGCTAAGGAAAATTTCACACTGTAGAACAGCATATTTTTTGGCAGAGGCCTTCCACTGCTATAGTGAAAAAGATTCAAGACAAACAATGTTTAATGGTTGCAGTAAAGTTCATCCAGCTGTGGTTTCTTGCACTTAAATGACAGCAGAGCAGAAGACCTGAGGGAAAACGGCAACGACCCGAGCATCTATTTAGAGAACAAAGTTGCGAAGAGACCAGAAAAGGATTATTTTATGCTTGACCGTTATTGGCTGAATGGAAATTAAAATATATATTTTTTTCAAACAGCAAATAAAAACTCTCCCGTGTGCCGATGTTGTTAGTGAGGGACGGTAACTCGGCCTGCTGTTTTTAGCATCAGTGATGTACACTTTTACATGACTTTGCAGGAATTACCAAATGCGCTTCAAGAGAGGAAAGACAACTTGCATGTTGAAGTTGAGAGTATTATTGTAAAGTTGCTACTTAATTATTTTAAAAACCTTTATTTTGTCATGCAGCAGCCATGTTGGAACATGAAACAGCGTGGTGTTTTTGAGAATGTTACAATTAGAGATTGAGTACGACTACTGTTAAAAGCTAGCACTGCAGAGATTACTGTGCTGATCATGCTAAAGATTGATGATAAGAGATGCTGAAGAAAGCTTCAAACGTCAACTGTTTAATCATTTTGTCTTTTCTCTTAAATATTAAAATCCAGTTTATCTGCAGAGCTGTGTAGCAGCGTCTGCTCTCCAAAATTCAAACTTCTATGCAAGTTTGGGCTGTTTTAAGTAGCAATTGTTTTGTGTTGCTGCAAACATCTTATTGTTGAAACACGCGAATGTCAAAAGCAAAAGAGGAATCCGATCAAAATGAGCATTTAAGCAGATCAGAACTTCAGAAAATCTGGGATTGGAAATGCAAACTCTCCGATCAAATGTGCCTTTCAACTTTCACCTTCAGTCACCCCAACTTCACCTCTCTGAGCCCACGCCTGCCCCCACCCCTCTGTTTCCTGGCCCTAAATTCCTCAGTGCAGGCTGGACGGGGTTTAATAGTTGCCCAGGCTCATAACCAGCCCAATAAAGGTTGTGTCTCGGATGGGAAGGGGGCCCAGGCCAGGGTGACGGCCTCTTTATTGGGATCCAGTCACCTTGGGCCGCTATTCACATCAACAGCTCCATCCTTGGTACACTTCCTAGTAAAAATAAAGAATCTGGGGGTCAAATACCCCAAAGTCACAGCCCCTCCTGTCACCTTCAATGGACAGCACAGGACTGAACCAAATGTGGCCCTCACCCCACGGCAGCAACCCCAACCTGAACCCCCGGCTCGTCATTAACAAGAGTGGTAAGGTTTCAAGCCCAGAGAGGCACAAAGGAATTATCTAATAAAAACAGAGAGGGGAAAAATGAAAAGAGAGAGAGAGAAAGGGAAAGCAGGAGGTGAGCCCGAGGACACAAACTTCTCAGTGGACGGGAGGTTAAATAAAACCTTGACTATTTAACTTTGACCTTGACTTCGAAGGCCACTGCTAATGATCGGCAGCCTCCTATAAACTTCATCAATGTGTGCAAGTTATTTTTTGAAAATGGACAAATCAACACCAGCCTGGCAGGAACTAACCCAATTTAACAACTCATTCCCCGTCAACCGCTGCTGGACGCCGAATACATCTGGGCTGTGAAGAGCCAGGCGGACCAAGAAGTCGGTAAGCTTTCAACACGGCTGCTGCTTTCCACAACAAACCCGCTATCTGTGAAAATAATCCCTGTAACATAGTAAGTTGTTTTCAAATTGACGGCTGGAGGTATTTTGTAAGCCTCTCACTGATTTTGACAAAGAAGAAATCTGCAAGTTTGTACATGAGACTCCAGGATGAACGCTTCCCTCTCCGGGCTTCTTCTTCTGCAACAGGAAACCAGAACACACCGACCGGGATCACAGCTCATTAGCGGCTATTCATCTCTCTGAGACACATCTGCATAATTTAGGGGTTTCTCTGTTGGTTTTTAAGTCTCAAAGAAACCTGTACAAACATTACTGTCAGGGTTAATTTATTCAAGTTAAATCCAGAATTTCCAGCTCCTCCAGCAACATTTGAATTTCTCTTGCGACCTATGAGAACACGTCATTTAATCATTTCTGCAGCATTCAAGAGTCACAGGTGGAGATCATACTGTCCCGTCTGGATTAAATGTTTACATTTTGACTCATCGGGTGTGCTCTGCAAAGGAAAAAGCTGCAAAAAAAAAAAAAGAGAGAAAGAAAAAGAATCTCCTGATTAAATACTGTATGCAGTGAAGAGCAATGCAATGAGTTCATTTCAAGCTATGCTTTGAGATATGGGCAACACCTGGATTCTGATAAAAGATGCAGCATCCTGCACACTGAGTGGCACCGCAGTAGAGATGAGGGCAATGGCTAAAAATAAATGGAGAAAAAAATATATATACACAGAAAAAAGAAAATAATACCTTTAACTCGAGTAAATTTATGCAGTGTGGGAGAAACTTGTTTTTTTAAAAAAAAAAAAAAAAAGCAAATCAAACAATTCCTTTAATAACAACAAATCACACACAAGTCTTTTCCCCATCTTAATCATTTAATTTGTTTATTGTGAATATTGTTTTTAGGTGAAACTGAGATCTATTGATCTACAATCAGAGCAACAGAAGCTGTGACAACGTTTGCTTTTTAGAGAAGAAACGGCATATTGGTTGTCCTCCATAGTCTCCATGCTTCCATAACAACAATTTCCAGGTGCTTTTAATAATGTAAGTAACACACACATTCAAAGAAATCAAGCCAAATTGCTCCTAACATGAAAACATGGTGGAAGGACACAGGTATTAAATATTGAAGACATGAAGAAAATTAGGTGCAAAAAGGCATAGAAAGCCAAGTAACCAGCTAAAATCTGTCAGTATTTAGAAAGCATTTGCTGTTTCTATGTGAAACAGCAAATGCTTTTGAAATTATTTTAACTGTATTTTTAAATGTCTGAATGTTCCAGTAATCCTCATCAGAGTTGTAATCCAGAAGTAACAACCACCAGAACCAGATGCTGCTGTTTTCTGGGCCAAAAGAATAATCAACTTAGGAGCGCACACAAAGAGCTCCAGAAACACCTGGACCCAGTAGGTACGGTTTTTCACCCTGAAAACAAAGAGTAATGCAGTCAACCACAATGGCCTCTATGTGCGTAAAACTCCACTGCTGAAGAAAAAAAACATGCTTGAAGGCTGTTGGAAGTTTGCTGCAGTAGATTTGCTCAAGTTCGGTCAGATCAGGTCAAAGGTGAACTCGCTGGATGGCATTTCACAGATCATGTTAGAAATCAGAATTATTCTGCCCAAAATTATTACCCCAAAACCACAGTTTGCAGGTGGGAGCATCTCGGTGTGAGCTGTCTTACAGCAGATGGTAATCTCAGACTTCGTAGAACGTCTCAGCCTTAGCCTGGTGTAAATGGTTTTATGTTTAGGGGCGTCGGGCGAGTGCGGGGGAGCAGCAGCAGGTGAGATGCACTGTAACCTGATCACCGGCTTCTGTTTATATAGTAACACTGACGGTGTAAAAGTGGTCCTGTGAAATCCAGAGGAAAAAAAAAAAAAAAAAAAAAAAAAGCTCCTACTGAAACGGAGAAGCTGCATCTGGCGCCAGGGGAGAGCGAGTGACTGACACTGTCTGAGCGTGGTGAGAAAAAAGAGAGAGAGAGAGAGAGAGAGAGAGAGAGGGACAGAGAGAGAGGAGGGGGGATTTTACCTGGTGTGGAGAAAGAGGGCGAGGAGCCAAGAACCGTCAGCAGCTGTCATCACCCTGAACTGAGCTCAGCCTTGAAAACAACAACAAAAAAATACCTCTCTCTTCCTAACCTACAGCTCACCCCTCACTGTGTCACTCCATCAGTCAGCACACAGAGGAGACAACGGGACTCGTGTGAATCCCCTCCATCCGCCAACTCCCACAAAGAGTTTCATACGCAACAAAACTATAAATCTCATCTGTCACGCAGCATATTTTTCTATCTAAGCCTCATTTACTCATAGCTGCAACTAAAACATGCAATAAATACCGCGCAACATTCCTTCGCTTCACTTCCACGCGTCTATCTCTTTCCTCTGCCGTTTCCTCAGCGGTTGTTGTCGGATCAGCACATCCCTGTTTAGACAACAGAGGCCCCTCGGAAAGGAGACACCTTCCTTATCAGCTCACAGGACAGAGTCGCAGCCGAATCAAGGCATTAGTCATTTACAAAAGTCTGCAGGGGGAAACTTATTCTGAAAAATATTCCTCCAAAAAAAAGGTTCCAACTTGTACTGTTCTGCACTTGTTTAAGTTGATCAGAGTGCCTCGTAACTTTTAGTCTTGCTACTTCTTTTCCTCCTTATGACGTGAAACAGAGGTCCATTTC